CCAGCCAGGAAAATATTTTCCCATAAAAAAGGTGGGAAAACATATTCATCAAAAACCGGGAAAATGCACACGTGTGAGGAAAAGTAGGAAAATATTTTCCGTGGAAAATTTCGCCTATCAAACAGCCAAAAAAGTGGAAAGTGGAAAATATTTTCCTACTTCCCCAGAAAATGTAGCCTATCAATCACGGTCTTGAAGAATGGATAAGGCATCCGAAACGCAATAATTGCACTAAAAGATTTCAGCAAGGATGAGACAGAGTTTGGCGTCAATGGCTGAAGAACCCAACACTTCAATGTCAGTTCTCGCCTCCCAAATATGCAATCAAATAAGCTCCGTTTTCACCGCACACACCTCAAAACCACCTGCCATGAACGTTCTAGTGGAGGAAATCGCCGCCGCCGCCGCCAGCCGTAACGGAAAAGTCTTCGTCTATGGCGTAGGCAGAGAAGGTCTGATGCTTAAGGCCCTATCCATGAGACTCTTCCACCTTGGCCTCTCAGTTCACTGCATCTTCGACATGACCACTCCCCCAATTTCCTCTCTCGATCTCTTAATCGCCTCTGCCGGTCCCGGTGGTTTCTCCACCGTCGACGCTATATGCAGCGTGGCGAAATCCAACGGCGCTCGTGTTCTCTTACTTACTGGTCAGCCTGAATCCGGATCCTCCGTGAAGTATGCAACTGTGGTAGCCCACATACCGGCTCAAACAATGGCGGACGATCGGGATCACGATCGAAAGGGGGAAAGTGAATCCAGACCGTTGCTTCCAATGGGGAGTCTATATGAAGGGGCCATGTTTGTGTTGTTCGAGATTGTGGTTTTCAAATTGGGTGAGATTTTGGGGCAGAGCCCTGATGACGTTCGAGCTCGCCATACCAATCTAGAGTAAGAGTTTGTGCAGAAATAGATCGCTTGCATCTCCACGTGCATGGGCCATAGCTTCAATCGAATCAATCGGTGCCTGCTTGCTCCTTTCTTACCTTTATTCCTCTTAATTACTAATGTTTATAATTACAATTATTATCATTAATCTTAGTGCTAAATCATCATTATTCTCGGCTTCCTTTTTTTTTTCTTCTGTTGTTGTTTATAATTGCTACTTGCAAACACAAAATACAAATTACTAATTAAAAGTACGGTAAAATGTGATATCATGTTGAATCAACTCATATAAAAGTTTACCGTACTGATTCTCTCTCTCTCTTTTGATACTCTTCTTTTTCTCTGGATATACATATTCATCTGCAGTACCTATATACTGTGATTTTGAGCTTCATAGATGTGATTTTCTTTGGAAATCATGATATGTGGACTCTTGTGACATATAAAGTTTAGTATGCTGGACTCTTACCATATTGAAATAAGAAAAAAGGAGTTAAAATTGTATCTGATATTACTTTTGGTATTGGATACACGCGATTGATCTTCAGTTGTTTATTCCTAATGTGCACTTCTTGACGAAGCAGTCTAGCTTTGAAGATTTTCTGTTTTCCGTTTCTTTTCTCATGCCCCCTTCTTCAACTTGAAATTGTAATTGTTGAAGTTCTTTCAAATTGAGATTCGGGGCTATTTCAACTTATGAAAGTTTCTTATTTGGTAGGGATTAAAATCAAATTTTTAGTGGATTGTGATAAAAGATTTTGAAATGTGTGATTGAAAAGATGTGGGACTCATGAAAGATGTGGTTAATATTGATTGTTTGACTTAAATTGAAATCATATTTTAATCCGGCCCAAACATGCCCAAAACTCTATCTTAGGATCTCGACCTTTTGTCGAATGTGGTTAAAATTCTTGTCATGGAGTTATGAATATCTATTTTCCTGTGTTTGATTAGTATGGCCTAGAAAAAAAACATTTTCCTTGTTTTGAGGAAAATATAAACTTGTCCCCTTAAAGAAAATGTTTTCCTTAAAAACAAGGAAAATTAGATATATTTTTAAAATTTGGAAAATATTTTTCATGAAAAAAAATCAAAATATGAATTTGGGTGGAAAAATAACATTTTTCATTATAAAAATATCACGTATTTCTTGGTAGGGACGACGCTCCCTTGCTTCCAAGATCAAGATTGGGATTTCACTTCAAGACTAAGCTCAAAGCTAAGAGGTCTAGATAAGCGGGCACAACAACTTAGACTCAAACCATTAAGTAAATGCCTGTGTTTCAGCCCCAATTTTAAGGAAAGTGTATTTTGAAAAAGTAATTTTTTGAAAAATGTATTTTTAATAAATAAAGTTCTTATTCCTACTGAACCTCTCGGGATGGATTTCTTCGTGTATTTTTCCGTGACTTTAGCAAAGCAGAACGATTCAATTTTAAATGATTTTTAAATAATCAAAACATAGACAAAAGATTGATTGATTCACGTGGATCAAAATAAACTATTTTATAGAGACGGTTTCGGTGGGAATTGACAATTTTTGCCCATCCCTACTTGAATCATGCACGGCTTAGAGTCAAGCGAGGTCCCACTCGAGCTGCCGCCAAATTAAGCAATAGGGCCATGCATGTCTCTCTTAGAAAAAGGTAGAAAGGCATTGCCCGACTTCGTTGAAACTTCTACTACTAAGAATTTCTTAAAATGAGGTCATTGATATCTCTTTTTCTAATGAAAAATTCACGGAATTGGTCAATCCTCCAAAAATAGGTCACGTGAAGATAATTCATATTCCAAAATCTGAATTGAATAATCTATTCAAAGAATTAGATTATTATATTTCTAAATTTTCGGCAACCACATTAATTAGTAATAAATAAATAAATATTGCCTTAATTTCTATTCTATGTGCCAGAATTCAATGAGCTGTTATATTGTTAGTCCCTCACTATCTGACACGTGTGCATACCCCACATCGAAACTTCTCGTTCTTTCTTCCCTATCGGTTTTCTCTTCTCCCGATTCTCTCTCTCTCTATCCTATATTAGCTCTCTAATTTTCATCGGAAAGTTCTAGATGTGACAGGGAATTCTCCTTCTCGATTAGATAAGCATCAGAATTTTCGATTTAGGTTTTGTTTTGTTAGTTGATTAGTCTAAACCTATGTTTTTAATACGATTTTATTGAGATTTTTTTGTTTAGTTCTTGAATTTTACGTGATTTTGGTTAATTTAAAGAAAAGGAGGAGGAGCTATGGCTCCGCCACCGGTGGATCGAAACGGAGGGGGATCGACGGCCGGCGAAATTACGAGATGTGTACCGACGCCGTTTTTGACCAAAACTTACCAGCTGGTGAACGATTACACCATTGATGATATCATCTCGTGGAATGAAGAGGGATCTGCTTTTATCGTATGGAATCCTACGGAGTTTGCTAGAGATTTGCTTCCAAAGTATTTCAAACACAACAATTTCTCAAGCTTCGTTCGTCAACTTAACACTTACGTAAGCTTAATAGCCTTGATTTTTCAATAACCAGTCCAATTCATGATTTGTACGTTTTATTGATCTATCGTCTTTTTTTGGTAGGGATTCCGAAAGGTTGTACCTGATCGATGGGAATTCTCAAACGAATGTTTCCGGAGGGGCGAGAGAGAGCTTATGTGCGATATTCAACGTCGGAAAATAGCGCCGCCGTCATCAACCAGTGCGGCGCCACCGTCACCCTCTTTGACGGTGGCTGCGGCACAGCTGGTGCAGTCTACGCCTCAACCTCGGGTGGCATCCCTGACAGATTCAGGTGAAGAGCAAGTCCTTTCATCGTCGAATTCTATCCAAGTTGTTTGCGAAACGAGCAGCAGCACGACGGACCTGATTAGAGAAAATGATAGGCTAAGGAAGGAGAACATGCAGCTAAACAAAGAGCTTGGCAAGATGAAGAGTCTGTGCAACAATGTTTTTGTTTTGATGTCGAATTACGCTACGAATTGCAACAGCCATGAGAATGACGCTCATAGTAACAGAGATCAATTTATGGGGCCGCTGAATCTACAACCAATGAAAAGATTTTGCGAACAGTTGCAAGGCGTTGCCACCGCCTCTGCCGCTAAAGGCGGCGACGAGACCAGTATTAGATTAGAAACAGAGGAAATGGGCGCGAGATTATTCGGGGTGCCGATTGGTGTGAAGCGCGGGAGGGAAAGCGAAGGTTTTTCGGCGGAGCATGAGATGGAATTGCAGCTGCAGCCACCAGGGATGAGCGTGAAATCTGAGCCGTTGGATAGACAGAATAGCGTAGATGATCAGGAGATCCTGTGGTTGAAACGGTTTGATTCGCGAAATAAAAAGGCGCATAATTTATAAGGATCAGATAGACGGTGGATGATTAATGAGTAAAAATTAATTAGACAGGTGCATAAAGGTCTGTACGAGGTGAGTCACGTGGGCGTTTCTCGGAAGCTTCATGGACTTTTTCTAGATTTTCATGAAAAAAACACCTTTTTTTGAGTTATTTCTACCTTAATAATTAATATTTGTTTGAACTTGTGTATTAGAGAATTAGCCTTTTGTAAATGTTGGTCGATACATGTCGATTTCAGGTAGCATGGAAGTGATACGTGTATTTAGATAAAGAAACTAGACTAGTCATTTGTCAATCACTAGGCATTCTATTTTCATGTGACTGGGGGCTAAGTACCGAGTCATTCTCTTTGGGTATAGGTAGAGATCTAAATATTCGGTATAAATTTAGGAATTATTCTACTCTACCAGATTTTGGTTCACAGATTTTGTACAGACTATCTCACATGAGGTGGGTCCCGAGGACCTAACTCATTAAAAAAACCCCCCAAAAATGTTAAAACACCCACCCACCCTATCTCACATGGCTGTGCCAGATCTTTTACAGATCTGGCACAGCAGCACAACTC